TACTTTCTCTGCCATTGCTGTCACTGTTGCCTGTTGCCTATATTTCTCAGTTCACACAGAGACACTTTCATATTGATTTTTTTTTGGTGCTGTGTCTATTTCTAGAATTTTGATAGGTACAGTAAGTACAGAAATCCCATGAGGTAAAAGTGGGGTAGGATTTCCTCCAATGAGTATTGCATCTTGTATGTCCTGATCACTTCCTTTCCTGTAGGGCAGTCCTTTTTTGTCACTTCATGAATGCAAAGAGCTGTGAAATTTGTACAGGTTTTGTAAAAGGAACGACCATTTTTCTGCCCTTTCTCAGAGAGCTGAGTGACAGTTTTTCTCCCTAAAGTCCACCTCCTGACAAGTGCTTACATAAATGCTTGCTGTTGCTTGCATGCATGCTGGACTACTCACATACTTTATATTAAGGCCATACATAAGCTATGTGAAACTGTGGGTTTATTCAGTACATGCCATGGTGTGAGGTCAGTAGTTTGCCAGAGACCAAGAAGGACTCTTAAAATGTGTGAAGAAAAGCTAACAAATAAAGCAGAGAGAGTAAGGCTTTAGAAATAATATTTCAGTCCTTGTAAAAGATCAGTAGGCTGTAAATGTGTTTGTCGTTATAATGTTTTTGCAGACATATACCCAGCAAAAAGACACATTTTACAATAGTCTTAAGGCTTTTTTTCTACATTTCATTAATGCTCTGTGAAAATGTGTGTCATTGTGTAAAATATCATTAGATTATAGTTCTCTGTCTTTTGTAGGTAGCTATTTTGAAAGTACTGCCAGAAACACACAGCACTCCCACAAATTGCCTTTTTTTAAACTAAAGAACAGCTTTACAGATTCCCTTGACACCTATTAAGTGTGAGCTAATACTGCCTCCATGCCACCTACACACCATCTCAGCATCCATTCCATAGTTTTGAATGTCTGTACTTCTACATCCTACACCATTTATGTAAAAAAAAACAAAAAAAAAAAAAAAAAAGAGAGAGAGAGAAATAACAATTCCCTCCCATCCTTTCTCCTTCCTCCCAGGAAAAAAAAAAAAAAAAAGAAAAAAAAAAAAAAAAAAAAAAAAAAGGGAGGCTTTGGTAGTCATCAATGACAATTTTACTTAATCTTTAAAAAATGTGTCATTTTGAAAAATAACATTTAAAACCCTAATGCTTTTCTAATTAAAATAACTATGACTGTAATTCACAGATGGTTTACTTTTACAGGAGTCTGAATGACATTAAAATTTCAGACTCAGATGAGAGCACTTTGTAGTCCAGAACCTATTGAAAAGTGAGTGCTTTGGTGGAAGAACATTTTAACCTTTTTTTCCCCTAGGCGAGCAGGAAACGTTTTGTGATTAGAGAAAAGACCAGAATGAAGACAGGTGGCAGCCTCAAAATCTGTTTTGATATCTGGCATATGAAATTACAAAGTTTTTCAGCGCTATTGCTTTCACTGAACACCAGAACTGTACAGAGGGCAGTGAGACTAACTTGTTCTTGGTCAGCTTTAGAGGGTATCAGATTTAGTTCAGAGGCTGAGCTATACAGATTTCCAGCCATACTAACACAATCAAATGTGTTATAGCAGTTTCTTCTATACGTGCTTCTGTCTAGAGCTCTGTCTAGAGCTTCTGTCTAGACCTAGTATATGATGTAAAATCTATAAATATCTTTTATCCAACTGTAACAATGAATTTGTATTGACATTTAGTATTTCTTCATTCACTTAAAAATTGTAGCAGGCTTGTACTAATGAAGTTCTTAGGACAAGTGATGCCACAGTAACTTCATATATATTGTTCCTAGGGTGTAGGATGGGAGAAAAGAGCACGAATGCTTTGCATTAATGCTCTCGCTGGCTTCATGACTCTGCAATGCCAGACACTTGCAGCTAAACTGACCACAAACTTGAGCAGTTGTCTCGACTGTGATTTTGTGACTGCACACTGGAAAATAAATTGCAACTCAATGTTTAGTTAAGTCACAGATTTGAAATATAGCCTAGATGTTAATTGTGAGACTGATTGAGAATGGGGTTGTTAGTTTTGCCACAGGCATTACTGGTAATTGGGGTTTTTTTAAAGTTTTAAAATAAAACTTCGTCCTTTTTTCTGCTGTCAAAATACAATAATATTGCCCTAGTAGGAAGGAATGTTTCAGAGACTTCCAGTGAGGAAGTAAAGGGAGAAACAAACATTTTGAGGAATGGGGGGAAAGAGGCAGAAATGAGGAAAAAGTGGATGATTTGGCATAGGCCTGAGACAGAGGGGGAGAATAAAAGCTCCAATGTGATGCAAGAGGGTTTGAGGAAAGGAGAAGTGGAGTAAAAAGAGAAAATGTAATCAGAGTAGAAGAATGTAATTTTATTAAGTGTTGGTATCCAGGCTTTGGTTGTCTGAGAGCTACTCAGATACAAATGGTAATTATAATAACTACATGATAACTTAATTACAGTTAACCTTGTGAATAATAATTCAGTTATTCTTATAGAATAATTCTGGATTTAAGGTGATGTGAGCAAGAAGATGGAGGGTTTAGTAGCCAAAGCTAGTAATAAGGAAAGTTAAGTATGTGTTTTGACAAGATAGATGGAAAAAAATAGTTTGATGAGCAATGATGATAGAATTCACAGTGTTTAGTGACTGAGTGGATGTGCTGGGAGGAGTCAAGGTGGAGTTCTGGCATCCTGGAAGAACATTGAAGGTATGAACATAGAATACTTGATGGGAAGAGAGGAGAAAATTTAGATGGTTTGCTGGGAAAACATGAAAGTTTGCTTGTTCATAATACAGGATTAGATGTCTAAAAGAGAAGTAGATTTAAACTGAAGAAGAAAATTGTTGACCTATTTTTCTTAGAACTTTTTGATTAAATAAGAAGGAGAAGAAGTGGGGACAAAAGGAAAGATTCTTAAGGAAATTTAGCAAGCCCTGGGAAGGAAACAGATCCCAGAACAGATGATGGATGAAGAAGGAAGTTACCATGCTAAAACAACCAGACAAAGAGAGAATTTTGAAAGCACAGGAAGAAAAGTGAAAATTTTGTTGGAAGTCACCGGTCAAGAAAACGAGGATGAGAGTATGTCCCTAAAAGCAGCCTATAAGAACACAATGAGATCTCAGTGAGGTTGCCTCAGATGAATATGATATTAAAAATTGGAAGGCATCACTCAAGATAATCTATTAAGTAAATATAAAGACATCATTTTACCAGAGTAGCTACCATTGTAGAAATAGTATCTAGGAAAAGGTAATATTGTTCTGTAATAATAACTCCAATTTGTAAGCAGAAGGATTATTCCAGAGTAGATGGTCTGAATAGAAGAGCTACTCTGGAATTGTTAAGTTATACTAGTATTTGTGTAGCTGCACAGTTTCTAAAATAGCTGTTCCAGGCTTTTTCCACCATGCAAAGAAAGCTTGTTCCCTATTTATGAGTTTCTGCAATGGCAAGACAAGTCAAATGTGTTTTTTTATTACCTTGCCTTCACACACTTTGCAATAACACACAAAGGCCTATTTTATTGTGAAAAAAGATACTAATGGAAACTCCAGAATTAGACTTTTTAAAACATTTGATTCAAAATAGTTTCTCTGTAGAGAGAAGGGAAGCCAATGGACAAAAATGTGCCCCAGTCATTTTTGATTTTTGTTAATGGAATTTAGACATGATATATGTGTCCTGGTTTTCTGTAGTTCATCACTACCAGTGACATACGTCTGACAATAGTGTTTGGATTAAAAACAATTAGTTGAAAAGGTGTGATAATCTCTTGCTGATACCTGTCTCTGAGATCTATACTGAAAAAATAGAAGAGTGGAGGATGGTGCAATGAGAAGAGAATGAGTTGAGCACACAAACAAGAGTGGGAATGAATTTTTGCAATTTCAGACAGACTTGTATTAATTAATCTGTATGCCTATTAGCCATACACAATTAATAGGTAGAAGGAAGCTATACTCTTCATTGGGTGGCACATTTCTCTAGTACTGGTCCTTTTATTTATAAGAAGTGAAGGGAAATTTCTTCTACAGAATTCCTGAGAAGAAAATGTTGCAGGAAAATTCATTTTTTTCCCTTTTTTTTAGTTACTTACTGCTTTTAGAGTAGGTAGGTTGTGTGTGGTTTGGGGTTTTTTGAAGGCTATTAGAAAGGAATTCTTTTGAAGATTATACAGAAAAGAATTTTTAAGGATTGTTTCAGCATGTTCAGAAGCTATCAAAAGGAGTTCTGTTTTGGTCTCACTAGCTATTTTTTTCCTGTAAAGGGGAAGAGCATCTGATGATTGTTATTAGGACCCTCAAGAACCAGATGAGGTAAACCAAGCAACTAGTCAGCACCAGAATAAGCTTATACACTCAATCAATATTTAGGGGATTATTTTTCACGAATGAGTCCCTCTGACTTCTTAGGCTTGATTCTAAAAGGAGACCTGCAGCACATCTTCCGCAGGCAAGCCTGGGACTAGAATTCATAATTTTACTGGACATTAGGAGTCATTCTCATTAACGGCAGTGAGTTTCTCCCACTCTCCAACTTGGGCTAAATTCTTCCTTCTCCACAGATGGCAGCTGTCTGTTACCATTTTCTGCTCCACATGGGTTTATGGCTTGTCACCTTTCTTCTTGCCCACATCCCCCTGTTTTATAAAAGTTAAACGTTATTTTCTGTTATGTTGTCTAACAAACTAGTGTAATTACATTCAGAATGTAATTTTTTTTCCAGTCTGTGTTTAACTTGAAGATTGTAGTATCTTTTATGGATGTTTTTGGAACTGAAGGGGTACTGTGTGTCTGACAGCTTGCTCATCCTTTCCAAAGATGTCTTTTATTCAACCAAGTGATACTACGTCTCTGTACAAATATTGGCATTGCACTGTTCTTAAATTGCAGATCTCATCCCAACCCCTAGCTGGATTTTGTACGTATTATTGTTATATACCTGTCATGGTTTTGGCCTTTGTTGTTGATGGTGAAGGTTTCCCTGCTGTTTGCATTCTAGATAGGAGCTCGAAAAGTGTTCCTTAAGTACTGGCAAGCTGACCATCTCAACGATTTGTGCCTTCAGCTTCAGAAGAAAATTATAACCTGCCAAAAAGGTAACAATTACAGAAAAGTATTCCTGAGCTGTCACATTGTAACTGAGCAGTATATTGCATAACAAAAAAACTTTTATCCTTCTTGAAGAGTTTCTGTATTTTATACATTTATATGCAGACATATTTCTAGCTACCTACTTAATACTGATTTTTTGAGATGATACTAACAGTGGTGATGCTTGCACTTTCTCTATGTCAAGCATAATTATTTTATGACAAACTGTTGATTGTAATTGAAACTTAGGGGAACTTGAATGCTTCCTTTTTAAGGTATGTACAGTGATTTTGCAAGGCATTAGTATCACCTTTAACTTCTTGTTGCAAATCAAATAGAGTAACAACGATACAAAATTGCTGTGTGTTCAAATATATCATCAGTGAATACAAAGCTAATAATTTAATATATTTATCTGTCTTTATTTTTCCCCTTTTCTTACAGCTCTCATATTTGACAGTGCTCAGGTTTTATGTTTAGGCATTTTTCCCCCTTTTATGCCAACATTTTTACTAAGGTCACACTGACAATTTTTGGCACATTTTTAAAAGGAGGTATTATCCACTGCCGTCTGATTTCCTGTTACTTCTGTTCCATTTCCTATCAAAATCTCAAATAACTGATGAAAATGTGAATATTGTTTTGTTTGAAGAAGCTTCCTTCACACAATGCATTATTTATCTAATTGACTGATGTCTGCAACAATTTCCATTATCACTTTTTTAAAGGAAATTAAACAGACAAAGATTTATCTTGGAGGTTTTTTTTAGTCAGATACATAGTATTGCACACTTAAGAACATATAAATCCCTTTCATTTTAACTATCTATTCCTCACTGTGAGGGTCTAGTGAAAGAGAGGAAACCAAGAGAAAACTTGAAGCAAGTGGAATTGAAATCATGGCAGTTCAGGAATGGATGTGAAGAGTAACAGTTAACACAAGCCACAATTCAGCTGAGTGTATAACTTCTGCTTGATTTTTTGTGCAAATTACCCTGTTGTATTCACGCATTTAGAGAAGCAATAATGATTTATCCCCTTTCCCTTATCATGCTGACTTATCAAAAAAAGGACAGGATCCAATTTGCAAACAGGATTCTTTAGTGTAACCCTACACCAAAATGTAAAACATCCTCAGATATGTCCATGTTTTGCAGAGGTAATAGAAGAGACATGTGCCAAACTCTGCCCAAAGAATGAAGATAATATGTCTTCTTGTCTCCTTACAAAAATATTTGGTTTGTTTTTGCTTCTAGCTCTCCTTAATCAGGCTAACTTGAAAAGTGATTTTCACCAAAACTATGTGTTCAAACCTTTTATCAAAGCTATCATTCATCTGCATGTTTTTTATGGTCTGGGAAACCTGAGAAAATCAAGAACTTGCGTGAATAAAGAGTAGATAGACATCCATTTGACTATGCTAGCTCATTAAATAAGCTGCCTTTTGCAAACAGGTACAATTGTAAACTTGTAGAATTAGCATGCCAAAGAGCTCTGGCAGGTTGGGAATAGGATAGGGTACCTGTGCATTGTTCTTATATAACCCTGAAATTGTGTAGACTTTTAAACTGGGCTGGTGATGCTTAGTGAGTAATGCTGTTAGTGCTGATGCATATCCACATTTTTCTCCCCTCAGCATTTGCATCCAGAGGATGGAAGCTAAATTTCTCTTGACAGTGTATTGACTAATAGAAAAACTAGCCAATAATTTCTGTATCATGCTTAAAATCCTACAATATAGAATCATATACCCATATGAGGATTTAACTGGAAAACAGGTCTTGTCCAAAACTCTTACTAACTGTTTTTACCTCATTCTTACTAGCAAGTCCTTCAGCATTACCACAAATTTGGGGAAAACCAAAACAAACCAGATAAGTCTTTTTCTATTATACTGAAAGTTAACTTACACAGGGGAAAAGGAGTCAAACTAAAGTGAAAGCATGCGTAGAAAAGCTTATTTTAAAATGGATCTGTGAGTCTAGGGACTTTGCCATATTTTTTCACAGGTATGAGAACTACATATGGAAAGTTCTGACCTTATTGAATCATTAAGAAAATTGTACCTGTAGGAAAGTCCATCAGGCTGAAGTTCTTCCATTAGAGTTCATGTAGATTAGGAATTAACTATAATACATTGTATACACAACAGTTAATACAATACATTTCTCACATAACCCAGATCCATGGTCTACTTGAATTTCAGTTATTTGGATCTTTATCCTTAGATGAACTGTAAAGGAGTAGATATTATTCTGCCCTGTGGGTGCTAATCTCAATTATTTTAATTTGCGTAAGTGAGAATTATTTTATATCTACATAAATGAGGAGCAAGGTCAGAAGACAATCTTAGTACCCATACAGTAGTAGATGAAACTGAGCAGTAATTGTCTAGGCCATGAAAATTTCATTTCACAGCAGCTTTTGAGGTTATGAAATTGTTTTTTTGTTCTGTGTTGAACTGAAGACAAAATCTTTCCAATGTTCTCAAAGGGAAGGAAATGTGGTGAAATGTTCATCTGCTAATGAAAACCTAAACTACTCAGTTCAACCCTTTGTTGAAGCCAACCCTTTGTGACAAAACTTTGTTGAATGCTTCTTCAAAACATCTCAATTGTGATGAAAGTGCGTAGTTCGGAGCAGCTGTACAGACTTTACGTGCTATAGCTAGCTGTTCTGGGTACCATTTTACTGGGCTATCCTAGCAGGCTACTGTGCATTGTTCATGCCTGCTAACAATCCTACCAGATGACTGACCTCTGTATTTCCCTTCCGTAACCAACCTTAGTGGTGTTACTGACCCTTTTTTTTGTCAAGGTAAAAGTACACACAAACACGCACGTTTGTAAAAATGTTACTTTAAAGTACAGGCTTTTTTCCAAAGCTATCCAGGATTTGATGTTTAACCGTTTTTTCAGATACCCTATCTGCTCTGCAGCACATAAGTTGAAAGAAAATAGTGGATGTGAGGGAACAATTTTTTATTATTAAGCTCTTCTGAATTTTTCATACTTGTAAGCCATGAACTCTGATAATGTTCTATGCATGTATTCATTACCTTTGCAACAGCAACGTTATGAATTCAGACTCAGTAACGTGTATATCCAACATTAATCCTCTCGTAAAATTGTCAACAAATAACTGTCCTATTAGTTCCCTTTTCAACTAAATTGGGTAAGTGCATTAATGTTTTAGGGTTTGAAGAAGTCAGATTTTATAGAACGTAACTAAAGGGATTGAAAATGGCATGACTGGCTGTAATTATTAAAAAGTAAACTTTCAAAGTTGTCCATCATAAATAATCTCAAAGTACCTGAACTTGAATGTTTCCAAACCCAGTGAATTTTGGATAGGAGCAGTGTTAGTATCTTAAGGTTAATCTTTCTTACATTTCATCAGCTGGGCACTGACCATCTCTAAAAAAAAAAATCTTATTTTAAATATCTAATCAAGGACACAGAAGGTAGTAGAAAATAATTTACATTGCCCTGTTTTAGTTATTTATTTTATTTAATAACTTTTTACATTCATAGAAGACTACCTCTACCTTTCTCTGTTTGCATTTTTCCTTTAGATTAATTCAGCTTGACTCTTTGTCATTTGGTGTTGTTCTGCAGTGTTCCAGCTTAACTATGTTGTTAAAAAGACCTACTGCATTTTAGCATTTTTTACTTTCAAGTCTTAATATTAACATTTTCAATATTTTCCCCCAAACTCAAACCAACCTCTTATACAGGCTATTGCATGCTGACTTCACATATCAAAAACTTTGAGTGACCAGAACGAGAATAACCATAATAAGCAATAATAAAAATTGACCTATTTTTGATACATTTAAGATGATGTACTGAAAACCAACAATATTTCAAGTAACAGGTGAATCATTCTAAAACAGGTTCTTCCTTGTGAGGTACGCAGCCATTATTCCAGATCAGGAAAGAATCAGGATCTTGTGGAACTTCTAAGCCAAAAACATATACTGAGAGAACACTAATATCACCCTGTTGCCAGTGGTGTGGTTAATTTGGTGCCGAATTCATTGTGGCGAGGTCCCTGTGCCTTGTATTTCTGATCAGCTGAGTACTTCTGAAAATTCAGGGGACTAAGTGGTATTTAGGTTGAATAAAATTGGTTGTAATGAATGTACATACTTAGGAAAGTAGTACAGAAAGCTAGTATAGGACATACTCCAAAATGTTCCCCCAACATAAGTCTGACAAAGAGTGGAAAAATAGGCCTAATAGAGACATAAAGCTGATGCAATGCAGATGAAAATTTTAAACTGAAAAACGCAGACATGATGTGACAGATACATCTGAGAATTTTTCATTAAATCAATCTAATTTTTTTTGTAGAAAGAAAATAAGTAACAAAAGGGCTTTACGTCTTACTATGAAATCTTGTGTCAGTTTTGATTTTTTTTTTTAGGTACACTGAAATATTTAAAGCATTTTTTTAAGTTGACCAAAAGCAAACGAACATTTAATTCTTGCTTCATTCAATGCAACAATCATTTATTCAGGGTTTTATTTTGAAACAAATGATCTTTTGACCTTTGCAGTATAAACATATGCTTTCACAATCTGTAGCATACATCCAAGTTTCCAGTTGTAATGTAATAAAAAAAAATGTTCAGTGAAAATAAACATTTTAAGTTGTGGTAGCTCAAATTTATGAATGAATTTACTATCACTACTTTGTTTTAAGTACCGACTGTAGAAAACAGAGTTCCATTTTAGTAGGTTATTTATATGCTGTCGCATTTCTTTAGTTCTTTGTGTAAGACATTGACTGAACTTATTTGCTCATGTTTACGGCAGAACACTTATTAATATTAAGTTATTCGCTAATTAATTAGTTTTCTTGGGTCTATAATTTTTCCTTCTGTCATGGTAGTTGTAAGAGGATTTCTAGCTCGCCAGCGCTTGCTACAGAAGATGAGCATCAAACAGCAAGAGGTCACCTCAGTCAAAAGCTTCTTGCAGAATGCTGAGGATATGGGATTGAAAACATATGATGCCTTGGTTATTCAAAATGCTTCTGACATTGCTCGGGAAAACGACCGGCTCCGCAATGAGATGAATGCTGCTTACCACAGGGAAAAGTTAGAGGCTAGAAACAGACCAGAAGAAGGCCACAAAAGGTAAGATGAGGAAACATCTACTGTGAAGAATTAAAGCATTTATTCAGTTTTATTGATTTCCTTCCTTGCTTAGAAAGTCACAGAAATGAGTGAGGAATTGCAAGAGTATTCTTAAGTATATACTCAAATCAATGTTAGACACTATTTTTTACTGTATATCAGGTAATTAAGTACACGCCTTATATCCTATTCCAAGGACACTGAGCTTTACAGGAACTTATTCAAGTCACTGAGGCAATTATTTTTTTACAGAAATATTTTTTAGTTCTAAGATAAATAAACTTTCATCAAACCAAACAAACAAAAGAAAAAAATCCTCTAACTTAAAATTCCAACATTGGGAAATTGCCAAGGTAATGAAAAACAGCTAGGAAGGCGTTAGAATACTATAAAGTCTAGACTAAGAAATCCTAATTACACATTGAAATAGATAGATTGATTGTGAGGAGGATTCTTTCATCTTATTTAAAAATAGGCAAATGTTTTTTGTTTAAAACACGTCAGAATTTTCAGGAGTGCCTATTTTACAAATCCAACAAATGCTGGAGAGCCTTTCTCTAGGAACTGAGTCCCTGATCTCTTTTCTCTCAGACATCTGAAAGGGTAGCATTTGCAGTTAATAGGAATGTGTCTGTGACTTGCTGGATATATAAATGTTTCTTTTGCCATAGGAACTTAATTTTTGTCCAGAACAACTCCTTTTGCTTTCATTGTTTTTGTCAGTGACTTTTATTAAAGTGAAAATGGCAGAGCATCTGCTTAATTAGTTTCAAATATCCCAGTGATTACACATTGAAGGAAATGCATTTGTAAGAAAGACTGTAATTAAACATTACAGTGAAAACAAATTATCCACTGAGCACCATGCTTTCATCATTAGCTATTTCATTTACTACATGGGCAGCTGGCTATATCCTGTGTATGAATTCCAGCTCTGCTGGTGATTTGTCATGGAGAAATACAGCTTAAAAAAACCCAAAGCTCAGGGATTTGTTTGTAAATTGACAGTATAGACACCTTCTATATAAACATTATCACTCTAATTTACAAGGTTAACAAATTTTGATTTTTGGGGAAATAGAATGTTAGAAGAATTTTTGTTAAAAATCAGTTTGTTGGAAGCAGCTCATAACCATAATTTCTCAGTACCCAAAAGACAAAGAAAAAATTGGGATAAGTAAAACTCCAAAATTGTGATTGAAATAACTAGACATAATGTCATAATTAATATTATTAAAATAATAAATAATAATTAAGTTTAAACAGGAAGACGTATAGATATCTGGGTGGAATTGTCCAAGCAGCCAATGTAGCTGGTTAAAAAGGTCATCTAATATTTTAAAGATTTGCATTATCTAAATAGAATTTATAGTTGTCTTTTTAGAAAATAAAGATAAAGGCTCAGCATTTCCTGCCTCAGTAACTTTCTATTAAAATGGATTTCCCAGAAATTATCATTCAGATTGAAAACCCAGCTTTTGATTGTGTGTAACAATCAAAGTGTGAACAATGCATTCAGTGAATGTCTGATCAACAATATGAAACTGCCTTAAGGAAGGCTGCATTTGTGTGAAAAAGGGCCAGTGTCCTGATTTATCATGAAACAGGAAATGGAAGAAAGCTAGCAGCTTGATCTGGATTTGTTTGTCAGAAGATTACTACACACATCCCCTCGACACAGCAGGGGAGTTGTGAGATTGTTTACCAAAAAGCTGTTGTTATGTTTGCATGAACAGGTTCATTGTTATCTCTTGAATAATGCATCTGGGCTTCTTTTCTGTGTTTTCAGAGCTGAAGACAAGGGCGGGAAGGTCTCTGAGGACAGCTTTGCCGGCTGTCGAACGCCTAAACACTTTCATTCCAACTCTGTCCCTGTCCCCATGGCAGTGGATGGCTTGGTACATTCTGCTGCTGGATCATCCATCAGATCCCCCTCCCTGCACTCTGTGTTCAGTATGGATGACAGCAATAGCCTGCCATCACCAAGGAAACAGCCTCCTCCCAAGCCAAAGAGGGACCCCAACACACGACTGAGTGCTTCATATGAAGCTGTTAGTGCTTGCTTGTCGGCAGCTTCTAAGGAAACCGCTAATGAAGGTTAGGCATAAAGGGAGAAACAGTCGCAAATGTTACTCTAGGTTATTGATTTCTTTTTTTCACTTTGGTCCTTTTAAACACAGTCAAGTGCCTTTGAAAAGTCCTGCTTCCCTGAAACATTTCAGTGGCAGTAAATAAAATTAGTCCATTTGTCATTTGTTTCCAAATCAGCAAATACTACTCATGTGTTCTAATGGCCTAGTTTGTCAACAACCAACACTGATTTGCAGAACTCCCTCTAGAGATAAATAGTCCTGTTAACTTGAGCCATTCTACCCGACCGACTGTTTTATTTCACATTTTAAACTCTAAGCTAGAATACCTTACATAGCTAAAACAGAATGCTCGAATCTTGAATTTCACCAAGTTAAACATTAAAATTTCTCCTACTTTTTCTCTATGTTCACATGAATAACTTGTGCGTTCAGTGGTTTATGCTTGTGCCATAACTTGCTTACAGTGAATTTTTTGTTTAGAAGGAAAGTGCTGTGAAAGTCCCAAAGTGTCTCAATGCATTATACTGCATATTAGAACAGTTTTGAGTTCAGTTGTTCTATTCTCCATTACCCTTGAAATGAATGAGTAGAAGATGAAGGGGAGGAATGCATTCTGCTTTTCCTTGATAAGCCTGACTTGACATGCTTTGCGGAAAGGATTCTCTAGGCTTATCAGGGAAGATACTTCAGGTTGGGTTTAAAGCTGTGTGTAACCATTCTCTAGTCCTGCATACAATGGGTGGAAACCTTTGCAACTCCCTTTTGCAAAATAATTACTGTTCTGTCCACTTCATTAGATGCAAGTCCATTTTTCTTAACCTCTCCCTCGCTCGTTCAAGCTCTCTGCAAGGAGAGATGAACTGTGTCCAATATACTTTTAACTAGTATGGCTTAAGGAGCTCTGTAGGGGTTTCGGCTTTTTGTGTCCAGCTCTGCAAGAGATGATTGATTTAACCAAAAAGCTCTAGCAGAGGTTTTTGAAAGAATGACAATTTATATATGGATGTGTGTTCTTAACACTTATGCTTATATACGCTTACAAAACAACTTTGGAATTTGTCTCATATGTATGAAACAATAGGGCCAGTTTTCCTGCTGTGTACTAATTTTCCAAGAATTATGTCAGTTTCCTGAGTCTTTGTCCAAAACCAGCTCTGAGTTACACTATCTGATTTTGATCTTAAAAGACCAATCACCTAGATATCAAGTCTCTCCACTCCATACATGCCTGGAGGCTGTGAAAAGACATCTAGCTTAGTTAACTGTATACTCAGTTGGGGAATTGCCCTTAGGCTATGGGATTTCCTAACTTTATAAATTATTTCCACACCTGCAGTACAGAAGAAGAAGAGATATGCATAATATCTACCTCTAATTAGAGTTTTATAGATATTACATAAAAGGGGGATACTTCAGTTACTGGCAATAACATGGTGTCAAAGTAGCACTGTGCTGAACTCCTGGTTAAAAGCATGCCACTCTCCCTTGGGGCAAAAGGAATAACAAGCACGTTATTTCCATGTATTACAGACCTTGCAGAGAACATTTGGATTCAAAAGATATCTCCTCAGATGTTCTTGTCTTTTAGTGGCAGTAGAAGTTACTAAAACAGATTATATGCTCAAGTAGCAGAGGCTTGTGGTTTGGGAGCTGAAAATTCTGCATTTTGTTCCTTGAAATATTTATACTTTTGACTGAATCCCTGTGTTTGTGACTGCTGCTCATTGTGAAACTATATGGGCAACATTTGAAGGTACTAGACCTGTGAAAGAAAAAACTGACTTTGATATGTTAATGACACAGACCTTTTTCACTTTCCTAGTACTGACCCGTCCAAGGCCACACAGTGATGACTATAGTACCATGAAAAAAATACCTCCCAGAAAACCAAAACGAAGTCCCAATACAAAACTTAGTGGCTCTTATGAAGAAATACCTGGCCAAAAGCCTAGGGAGGTAAAACAGGCAAGCACAGTAGCTAAACCAGGTGGCTGTGACACCGTGACAGTGCAGAGAGTGGCTTCTGCTGATGGGCCCCAACATGGCATATTGAGTCTCTATATGTCACAAGAAGAGGAGGAAAATGAGCCTGTCTATATTGAAATGGTAGGGAATGCAATGAAAAGCAATTCTGCTGGAGCAGAAAGCCCAGAACAAGGGGAGTCTGTATATGAAGAAATGAAGTATTTTCTACCAGAAGAAGGAAGCAATGGCAATGGAATAATTCCAGTAGTGACTGGATCTCCTCCTCTGTTTGAAAGCAAAAAAAATGTTAACATTGAAGATGGAACGTTGGATGGAAACAGTCAAGCAACTTTCATCTGTAAAGACTCTTGTGACATTCCAGCCCCTTTCCCTAACTTGCTCCCCCACAGGCCACCACTTCTTGTATTTCCTCCAACCCCTGTCACATGTTCACCTGCTTCTGATGAATCACCTCTAACACCGCTAGAAGTCAAAAAGCTTCCTGTCTTGGAAACCAACCTAAAATACCCTGTGCAGTCAGAAGGCTCAAGTCCATTGTCACCACAGTATTCCAAAAGCCAGAAGGGGGAGAATGAAAGACCAGGATCTCCAGGCTTGGTTGTGTTCAATGCTTCCAGCAAAGTGACTCCTCCTTCCACACCGCCTCCTCCTCTCCCACCACCCCCTCCTCCTGTACCACCTCCTATTTCCTACCGGGCTTCCACACATTTTGCATTTCCTCCAGAGACTTGTGCTACTTTTCTGATGAATACAGGGAAAACAGGTACAAACTCAGATCTGTCAACGGTACCTCAGAGACCAAATCCTGCTCAGCTTGGGTGCTCATCTTCTCCATTTTCCAAACTGCCTTACTCCCCAAAGGTGGCAAGAGCAGATTACAGGAAATTGAACTCAAATTCATCATCTTCATTTCCATACAGCCCTACAAACTCAAGGTCATTGACCAGTCCCCTTGATGAGTTAACGAGCTTGTTCAACTCAGGCCGGAGTGTGCTACGAAAATCTGCAGCAGGGCGTAAGATCAGGGAGCCAGAAGGTAAGACTCTGTGCTTCTGTATACCGCATTTCTTCTGCACCAAAACTTTCTTACATTGGAAGCTGATAGAGTAGATAAAAATACAGCACAAAACTGTAGTTTGCTGCTTTTTTTTTAATGGAAAATCTGTTGTAGTCATAAGAAACACATATAGAAAATTCATTGCATATAAAAATTATAGGTCTTCAGATTTTCTCTGAAATATCAACTTTTCTTTTACCAAAATGCTTATCTGACACAAATTTAAATAGATTATTTTTAGTATTCCAGCAGTCTCAGTAAAATAAACACAGATGCTACATCATGTGAAAATGAGTTTATGGTATCAATCTATACAAATACTTTGAATTAAATATATGGCTAGGTGTCCGGTGGATAGCAAGTACTTAATTTGAAGACTTTCTTTTAAGGTTTCATTATTTCCTTTCCATGAAATTCTGAATTTGGTGATACAGTCATTATTGCTCTTGAAAATAAAGCCAAGACAGAGAGTGATGCAGCAAATTATATTTATTTCCCTTTTCTATTCCTTTAGTGTCACCTTTCCTGTCGTTTACGTACACTTACATAGATACCCAGAGATCACTTGGTATCCTGTCTTTCTGGCATCTGGAGAAAATCCTTTGTGTCTAGTGCAAAAGCCAACTATAAAAGCTTTCCATTTTGCTAAAGGTTTTTGACACCACAGTCCTCAGACATTACCACTTAATTACTGGCCTTATCCAGGTAATAAAGGGTTTAATGTTGTTACTGGAACAAATCTATGTATCTTAATACTGAAAATTCATCCTAATGTTAACAGGTTCAGTTAGCTGCTCTTTAAGGGTGAGATGCTTCTGACCTAACTTTGTCCATCTAAAAGCTTGATGCGTAGGCATCAAATCCTTAGGCTATGAAGAGATAGTAATTTTGAGAGTTTAATTGCTCCAATATATCTTTCTCCATTGGGTATGAGGAAAGCCTAGGTGATTAAACCAGTAGAGTTGTAACTTCTAAGTGATTAAAGTTGAAGTAAATCCCAGTTCTGCATATCTATTACAACACTTACTCCAGTCTTCACATTACTTTTCTGATTTTAAAAAAAAGTCTCCTGTTGAAAATAGGCAGTGCACTGTGTACAGAGATTTCTCTCCCTAGTAGCAACTCCCAAACACTAAATTTTGTGAATTTAAAATTCAGAGCAATAAAACCTCTAGACTGTTTTCAGTGCTTCTTCACTTCTGTGTGTCCAAACAGCTTATCTTAACCAAGAACTGTGTGCAGCATATTCAAAATGGGCAATATGAAGTCCTATTTTTGAAATATAAAACAAAACAGTAGAGAATGGGATAGATTATCTTCTTATTCGTTGCCCATTTTCTTTAAATATATACTGCTCCATTGATTTCAGTATCATATCCTGATTTATGCAGCTATGATAGAACAGAAGCAGGGGTTTGTCCTTACTCTGGATATGTGTGTGTATGTCTGTCTGTGTGCCACCCTATTTCTTTGTCCCTAAGAACCTTGGCAGCCTTCAGCCAAAACCTCTTTCAACCAAATACAAAAAGGAGATAAAGGTCTCAAAACTAATTGAGTTTCTACAGGTTTCATTAAAGTTAGTGGCTAGGTGGAGACAAGAAACTTATACTAGGGAAAAGGCTCCTACCAGCTATCAAAGGAACCATGGTGGACAGAACCCTTGTGAGTCCTCCAGACTTTAAAAAAGCTTTATCTGGACCCTGCGTGTTACTAGATGCAGTAACAGATGCAGTTCAATGAGCCATGAGCTATGAACTGAAACTTCATCAGTTCTCAACTTCAGGAGAGTGACACATTTGTTATTTTGAGTATATGAATTTATGAAATTTGTAAAGGAGGTGTTGCAGTTGTTTTTCTTGATTTGGCAAGATTACTTGATAGTATGCAAAACCTATAAATATATGTATAATGGTTTTTTATTTTGGTTTGGTTTTAAATTTGAGATCTTGTTTTATTATATAGATAACACATTTTTATCCGCTGGGAAGTAACTATTAAAGTCAGCTCTTTGGATGTATCTTCTTAAGGTTCTCTCAACGTACTTGGTGAGGAAGTGTGGTAAGCCTACTCCAACCAAGTCACAAAACTGACCTTTACCTTAAAATTAAAAAAAAAAAAAAAATGTTGCTTTGGGATGGAGGATTTTTGCAAACTTAATTTTTAACTAAATGTGACCAAGATAGAGTTCAGCTTGGGTCTCCTGTGGGTTGAAGCTAGTGCACTAACAGAGGCTACCATATAAAAACTCTAAATTTACCTTTCACATGGAAAATGTTGTACTTCTAAATATTTCATCAAGGCGGCACTAAGTATGAAAGATCAAAGTTCAAGAAAGATATGCGATAAAAAACTTGAATCAATTTTTTATGAGCTAGGAAGCTACTGTATAATTCTAAGTGCAGTTACATATGAATAGTTCAATGACGAGCAGATGGATTGAAAGTAACAAACTAATACAGTTGAATTTATGTGCATGTTTTTACAACTTGCCTTTTTTCCTGTACTTCATCTGTTCATCTCATTTCTAGTGTAACAGCTGGAAAAAATATCTTATTTAACTGCTGATGAAAAGTAATCAGATGGCAATCAGCAGAGTGGACTCTATTATGTATGATTTTTTATCACCTATTGCCTAATGCATATTAAGTTCCTGGAAGACTCCTCCATTTCTTCTTTTTGTCATTTGCAGTATTTTATTTATAGGATAAGATACAATAAAAAAAAATAAATTAATAGAAATTCTTTAAAATTTAAGACATGGCCTAGAGCAGCACTCTGTAATGTGCAACTTCCTGTATTTCCATAAGTTATAACCTACCAACAACCTTAACTAAAAACAGAAAGTAAAATTGTGGGCCATTTTGAAGTCAAGGAGAGTTAGCTATGGGAATCAATCAGTTTCTGCATGGGATCATCAGCCTTTGAGATAAAAGCCTCCTTGCCAATAAAAGTGCAATATAGTCAGATCCCCCAACTTACCTCCCTCTTGCCTGGAGGAGTACTTTCAAGGCCTGAGAACACTGATGTCCTTTTGGCTCCTGACCTCTCTGTGGGAAATGATCATCCAGAATTACAATAGAACGGATTTGTGGTTTTCTGATGGACTGCAGACTTATTGTGAACTGAACTGAGAGCACTCTTCTTTCAAACAGGCAACCAAAAAAAAAAATCAAATGCAACAGTTTTTGCTACCTGGTGGCCTACCCTGACCAATTTTTTTATACAACAGTAGCATCTACTGGTTCAAGCAATGATCAGTGTTATATACAATGCAATTTCTTGCAAAATACTAGGAGAAGTTTTCTGCTCTTCAGAGCCTATAGTTTAAATAACCAAAACTGTAACAGGTGAGAACTGAGATTAAGTGATTTCTCCAAGGTTGAAGAGTTGTCATTGAAGCTACACCTGTATTGTTAGACAGGGATTTCTTTTACTCCATATAAAATGAGATTTGAGTGCCAATAAGCAATAATGCACACATACTTCTGTTCTCCTTGATTTCTACAAGTAGAAACTTTAGTTTGCAAGACAAATAGAAACTGAATAGTTGTGTGCAGAAGTCCTTGTGAGGTATTTTTAGACAGGAACCTTAGATTTGAAACTAGAATTCATGAAACTCAATTCAATGCCTTAATCCCAAAACCACACTCTCTAGCAGAATGTACAAATACTTTTAACTATTTAACATATAGGACGTTCCTTATATAAGGAAGAGACAATTACGTGTTTAAGCATTTCATATCAAATATTTGTGGAGCAAGGACAGAATTTTCTTTTCCTTAGTATGGATGCATGATACTCAGATTGCTAGGTCGTAGTGTTATTTCTCTTGATTGGTACAGTTGATATTAAATTATTCCATACAAAGGGTAATTGTTTCAGGTTCAGAACAAAAGATGGAATAATTCCCAGCCCATCGTCCATGCTCAGATTGGCAGAGTGAGTATTCAGGTGAATTCTAAAGGGAAAGGAGCAAAGGAAATATGATTTTCCCTTAACCTTGATGAATTTCCTTATCATCAGGCTATTGAGGTAAAGACTTAATGCCTTCTCTCCTTCCTGCTTGTTGGGAAAAGATTGGCACGCATGCTTGACTTCTGTGTCTGAGCAAAAGAAATTGTGCAAGCTTTCAAACCCAGATTTAGGTGCCTAAGAACTAAAATTCGGAAGACCTTTCTTTTATGTAACTCATCCAAGTTTTGTGAATTATTGGTAGTGTTTCAGTACAAGTAGATCTGTATATGCAAGTCTATACATGCTTCAGTGATCTATTCCTTTGCAATACAGTTTAGTAATTTATTTGGTTAACAACAGGAAAAGGCATGCAAACATGAGATTGTTAATAAGATATCAATACTGTTCAAATGTTTGCCCAATATCTTTGGCATCCCTTAACTATAGGAATGCCTTCTTTACCTAATTCCTAAGTGAGGTATTTCCAAGGCACGTAGCTTCACATATGAGTGAATTCTCCAGTTTAAGCACTGAAAGTCACAGGAAGATCGTTGCAACTGGCAAATAATACAGATATTTAGACATATCTGGTTGGGACTAAAGCTTGCCAAATACTCTTTACTGAAATTGACTCAAACTTGGAAAATAGCAGAATTTAACATGTGTGTATGGGGAGTCAAAGGCAGGTATCCTTTTGATAGCTACTGAATAATTTCCCTCTATCAGCAGATTAGAGTGAGCTATTGTGCAGCTAACATCCCAACAGTGGATTGCAAATTAAATCCCCACTGGGGTTTCCTCTAATCCACTCAGCTTTTCCTCTTAAGCAACTTAATAAAGATAATGTTCATATCTACATCACATTATTCCTACATTGTAAGGATACAATGTAATAGTTTTACTTTCTTTGTGGCAAAAGTTAACAACTTACAAGATATGGGTGCTACAGAAAGCTGTGTTGTCACCTTTTATCTTCTTTTACCTGTGAATGCTGGAGGAATGATTACATGAGGCGCCGGACTTTG